ACTCAATAAATAAGAAGAGTTTTATAAGTGCCGAAAAGATGTGAACAATATCGAAACAGAAGTCGTAGCCAAGACATGTACTAATCGGCTGAGACATAATTTTATAGCACTTATAAACATTTGGATAAGGAAGGATTTACGATGCTAAGCCGTTTAATGCTTGCATTTTCTAGAGTAAAAATCTTTAGTGATTAAAAATATTATGTAAAAGTGTGGAAGGTAAGTGCAAAAAGAAGCTGGGAAGAAGTACTAGTCAAATTAGCGATGGTCCATTTTTATCCAAAGGTATTATGGTAGTGGAATGAAGTGAAAATTCGAGGTTCGAAGCTAGAATAGCTCTACTATGTGGAGCTCGAAAGTGTTTGTGAGCCAAAAGAAGCAAAAGCAGAACCCCGATGTGCTGATACTGAATCAATTTTCGGTCTCTTTCAGCCCACAACGTTAATTGTCCATTAGCGAATCTCTCGGCCAGGTAGACGAGCGCGGCCATGGGGCTGTGAAAATCTCCTCCAAAAGGGCGATGTTATTCGCACTCACAAAGCGAAGGTGGGGACGGCTTATGGGAGAGAATCGTCGTGAGACTCACTCGCGAAAGAAACAACACACTTCTTTCTACGGCAAATATATCAAGTGGTTATAGGATGTTCTTCTCCATGCAACTCGTATTACCACATCATCAGAATTTCTAAAATGCATTTATTGAATCGGCTTCGACGGAGAATTGAGAAACGAGAATTTGTTATACTTCTAGGTTCACAAGCAAATAGATATTCAAAATTGGATAAGGAGGGAAGTTTCCATAGCATGAAAGAAACTGAGCTTTTTGTTCAGCATACGGTACACAGGCTCTCTAAATTTCCTTGTCGCCAAATCTAAAATGGAAAAGTTTTTTAAGTAGTAAAAAATTGTTGTCAAACCTAATATTTCGAATTATCTCTTCGGCAGCTTCAGTAAAACATAATCGCTCGAGACGAGAATAATTCAGGATCTTTTCGATGAAATCTAACACTTTATGAATTATTGAAATGAACTGGTAGAAGTATTCCAAGAATCACATGGAATTATATAGAAGGATTCCGGAAAGATTTGTTAACTATGAATTGAATGAACTCATGTCGTAAATATTATAGGTTGTTCAACATATGGATTTACAGTTTTATCCAAAATCACCGCATACTGAAGATAATCAGAACTTAGAACCTCAAACTTTCCTGAGCATTTGATGGCTTGATAAAATGTAGAACTGTTTGTTTCGAGCCTCAGACAAATCGTCACCAGTTCACAATAAGTTCTTAGACGGTTTATAAGGATTGAACCTTGACATATGTATTCTTCTAGGTTCCACTTTTATGTCAAAAAACTTTCTCTCTTAAGGAGCAAGGATCACCCGTACCTGATAATTATGAAGATTTTGTTTTGACTTGGAGGTGGAAAATTGTTTGAAGACTTAAGCAAACATAAATAATTTCAGTTCTTCTCAAATGGTTCAGCTTGCTGCACAGACATGTGAAAAATCAGGTTTAATAAATTTTATTTCTATTCCATTCTTTGTTCGGTGTCATTATCAAATTTAGTACAGCAAATTACTTAGTCCTATTTAATTTCTTGAAATCACGCCCATATATTGTTCCATTTAAGCCAAAGACAGCTTTAGTATTCTTGATAGGAGGACGAGTTTGACATGTCAGTTTCTACTTTCTTTCCTTGCATCTGTTTCTTCGTAAAAACAAGTAACATTATAGATAAACTTGCTGCAATCCTGGCGTAATGGATTGCATTCGTGGAAATGAGCATAACAGCCTTAGTCATCGTGTTCCCGATATTCCGGCCATGAGAGACCAAGTTGGGACTCGATTCCGCAAAAGTTCGTGGATTGCCTGGATTGGAAAACACAAACAAAAACAGCTATTTACGTCTATGGTCGAGAAGCCAAGACTCTTTGGAGTTTTTTCTTAGATCCGATTTTTTGAGCATCAACTTTTCTATAGGTTTCCTTCGCTTGACACTGTTATCTGTATATTAGGTTGGTCCATAAGTCTTGCATCAAAAAATGCTAAAAATTCACCTAAGAATGTTCAGAACGGTACTGCAACTTATGCCTCATATTTTTTGTAACCTAAAGCAAGTGCTTTTTTAATTATGCATATGAGAAAATTTACTCGAAGCAAAATTAAAACGTCGAGATGAAAAGTCGAATATCATAACTATCAACAGAAACACTCAATCACCACAAATTTCTTTCAATTGGGAAGAGTAAGTTGTACAATCTTAATAAAAGTCAAATTTTTTGTACCTTCTTGCGTTTCTAAAGCACAAAATTCAAAAATTGCGATTTATGCAGCAATCTCTATCAGCTTCTATCACTGTGATTAGCCAACAGTGACTATTGCAGAGCATAGTAATAAGAAAGGAAGATGTTCTCTTTCTAAACTATCTTAAAATGAAATAATTTGCAAGCACAAATACTGAGACTTTCTAAAAGTTGTGGTGCAATACTTATGGACCAACCTTATATTTTTGAGTTGGTTAATGAATAATTTCGTTTTGGCGTGCGACTACGAAACTTCACAACATTCTGAAATAGCTGCTGATCAACCATTTTTTTGAAAGGGATTTTTAATTTTTTTTTCTAGTTTTTTTCTCATCCCAATCTTCAAATATCCAGAAGTATCCGTATCAAAAAATGACAATTGTTATATGGCTAGCAATTCTAAATCACATTTTTGAATTTATAAATTGTGTCTACAGCCTAAGGAGAGTGGGATGGGTAATTTTAGTGTGACGAACTACCGTGAAGATAGTGATCTGTTACGATAGCAAGCATTTACACAATACTGTCAATAACATCGTAAAAAACCCTCAATAAGACTGACATTGTTCGTCAAAAAATCTAATAATTTTTTTCTTGTATTCCTTCACTCTTGGGAATACAAACTGAATGATGAAAATGAGCATGCTGCCCATAGTGCTGTAGTGAAACTTTGCAGTAATAGCTATAATGATGAGAGCAACGATCGATATTCTAGTCTGGAAATTTTACTTGAAAACGATTTATTTTTGCTTCCTGAAGGACATTTTCTAAGCTATTAACGAAAAGAAAGTGAAAATTTTAATTTTTTTCTAGCTTAGAAATAGCGTGATTACTTCTCTCGTTCTTTTGCAAATAAAAAATCTAGGCTTGCCCGTTAATCGTACACATTCGTATCACACGTACAAGGATGTTAGACGTTGAAATACAGTCAGTATTTGCAGCTTTTTTATAGGAAGTTGACACATTCCGCGCGAGACCTCATGACATTTATGATAGCTACAAACAGCTAATAGAACCGATGTAAGTGCAGATGAACCGATCAAAAATGGAACCCACAACTCTATGGCACCTATATATACCCGAAAAATATAACAAGAAAAGAATTTTCAAATTGGCTGCAGTCACGACTGTCGTGAGATGGCAGGCATAGGGTGAAATTACAGATATTAAGTTACAAATGACTCAACTGTAAGTCGAATTGCGTTTCAGCAATTTTTTGAATTTCTTATGACGGGCGGAACAACAGTAAAAATACCATCACGTGAGCTCTCTAGTTTCCATCGTTACTGATTTATTTATTTTAGGCGAAAAACTGGTAACAGTAATAGTTTGAATATAGAGTTGCAAAGTTGCACAAACTGCCAATTAACAATTTGACGACTACGCAAACATGCACAACTTTTCTGCACAAACATCAGATGAGTGATACGTTGCTACCGACGATGATTTTTTTGATAACCATGAAGTTTGCAGATCTGTTGACGTCGATTTTTTGTAAGCCCCACTGTGAAGAATGAAGAACTTCCGTGGTGCACCGGTGGCCAAATTGTTAGATCCAAAATTCATAGTTTTGAGCAGAAATCCGAGCTTCGAATAGAAAAAAATCGGTTTTATGGCATCACCTGCTCTGGCAAATGCGATTTTCCGACATCGTTGACATCCTAGGAAAGGTGCTTTTTTGGACATGCTAAACGGCACATTGAAAATTCGGAATAGACAATTATAAAATGCTTAGAAAATTGTTTCAATCTGTGTAAATGTGGTATTTAACCATAAACAAGAATTTTTTTGCACAAAATCGTAATCCAAACAATTGAGATTGTAACTGTAGGAAAATACTATCACCAAGCAGTTATCTTAGTTGGAAAGTGTAGGTTAATTGGAAAGGGTAGGTTATGAAGCACAGAATATGTTTAAAATGAGAGGCTATTAAATCTTTTAGGCGAGAGAGATCTTGAAAAAGAAAGAGATGTACAGCATATATTTTAGCCACAAGCACTACAAAGGTCCATAGTTTGCTCCTGTAAAATCTTCACGGGCTTTTCAGGTTCTGGTGCAAAACTTATTTCCAACCTAATAGTTTGGTATACAAAATCACTGGGTCTTAATTTGATGCTTGGTAAATTGTCTAATAAGCTAAAACAAGGTTCAAGAGACGGCACTTGTACAAAACCAATGTTTCTAGTAAGCCTTGGCGATTAAATCAAACTCTAACTTTAGTTTTTTAGGGAATCATTCTCAAGAATGCTTGAAAACTTACCGGGACTTCCGCAGGACAAGCGGAATTTGTAGCGTTTCGAAGCACTTTCTTAACCATTGAAAAAGTGCACCAAAATGCGGGGATGCCGCAGCAAAATGAGTCACAGCGGTCTAAAATAGCGGCTTCCGCGTCATTTTCCTGAAGCGCTGCGGAAGTGCTGTCAAATCACAGCGTTTCCGCAGCACTTTGATCCGGCAGCATTTTCGCGGACTTTAATAGGGCATGCACTTACGATTGCGAATTGGCAAACACACCTTCACGGATTGTGTTTTTTCGCAGCACTTCATTGCAGGGACTCCGCAGCGCTTTCGCAAGATTTCCGCAGGTGACCGGGCGGAAATGCTGCGAAAGTGCTGCGGAAGTTCCGGTCAGTTGTCTCCATTTTCGTAATATTTTTCAGTACTGGAACACTTGCGGCAGCTAGAGCACATGTTCAAATTCAATACAGACGAGAACTCATTCAAGGACACATCTATTGTCGCAAGGAACTGTTTTGACTCCAAAAAGGTGAGAACCCACATTAGCATTGTGTATGCTTTTTTTCATTCTTAACTACAAAAATTCTGATTTTGAGGCACTGGTATACTTTGAAGACAAGATTTGCACAAGGTCAAAAGGAGAAATTTTGTTGCCCAGGAGATTTAATTCGCATTTACCACATGGCCTCGTTTAATCTGATCCGCTCTGTAATAAAAATAAAAATATCCCCTTCCAAGAGACAATAACTATTTTCTTTTGAAATATGCCATAGCCGACATCTCTCAATATTTCTCGTCATCGCTTCAAGGAGGCAGAGGCGATAAGGACACATCCATCAAAATATGTTTATATGTGGCATTTTTTTCATTAGTATTCACATCGCTTTCGCCGAATGATGCTGTATTGATGAACGAATAATAACAAAAGCCGACGTCCAATCTTCTTCCATTGTCCATAGCCGCAGGCATTAATCTAGCACCAAATTCTTTACCGAATACGTCTCTTCGAGTTTGAATTTTGCTATCTGCCACTTTCTACTATCAATTTTTCATCATTTTTGTTCTTATTTTTTCTCAGTTTCTTTCCATTTTTTCTGTACTCATCACTGTTTTGGAATTCCTTGGCAATTACATTTATTTATTCTAGCTCTTGCATTACGCTAAGTTACGGTATCCAGTGCTGAATATGTCCTCAGCTGCAATCTGATTTTTGATATCCCTATTGTGCCCCTGCGGTGATGGCAATATTTGCGCGTAAGATAACTGTTTCCATTTTTGCGTGCCATGGCCATTCTTTACGCGTAAAAGTTGCTCTCAAAAAGGCTTTATTGACAGATCTCTGCTATGGCAACCGGAGAAAACAATGACATCTTCTAAACAGAGTTTTGTTTCCATTTGTGTAATAATCAAGCTCGTTTTTGCCAAAACTTAATCGACGATGTTGCGGTCGAAGTCGAGTCGGGTCTTACAAATCGTAAACATCAATCCGGTTGCTAATTTCGGAAAGGAACAATGTTCAAGGTTTAAATTGTGTTGATGAAGACATCGGCCTTATCGTTTTATCATATGTCTTGACAGCCCCTACAATGACATTTCTTTTAACTGATCTTGACTTAAATTTCTAGCTTTCCAGTAGTTGTTTCCATTTGGAGAGGTCCTTCAAATACTTAGGGTACTGTAAATAATTGATTACCAATTTCAAAGGGAACAGATACTTACTCGAAAATTCTTTACCTTTTCATCATTAAATTTTATTGAAAAATCTACTCAACCTTCCTTAAGGTTTTCTACAATTCTCAAAAGACAAATACTTGAGAGCAAAATTCAATTCAACCTGACAGCACAGTGTTTTTGCGTAGCCAACAACGCATGCGCGTAAAAAACGATTATGGGGCGAAAAAACATTCAACCGCTCAACAGCCCTCTCAATATTGAAGCTCATCAGTCGTCTTTCCACCTAAGTGTTGTTGGCACCGTAACTGCACTATACTAACAGTCATCTTGACTGTAGGGTTATTGTCTGTAAAAACTTTGAGCATCGATTTTGTACCACCGAAAAAACTTGCACAACATCAAGCATAGAATTTAATTTTCATCAACAAACTTCTATTTCTGAAACGATGCAGCTCTTCATTTCAAAATCAGACTCTTCCAAGTTTGATATGCCTAGCTGTGCAAACAATACATATCGATCGATACCACGCTCATGCTGCTATTTGCTTTATGATGAAGTCTAAATTAATTTTCGTATGGATCCACTCTTCAGCAATGTGTCGGTGTCCACGTACAAGAACCATTATTTATGCATGGCGCAATATTTGTAGCTTCGTAATTTCAATTCATCATGTTTTTTGTATCTTTACGCAGTAAAATTCATTGCTTCACCACAATTTTAGCCAGTTGAAAATTCTTTTCATTACTTGTTCGTAAGACGTGCTAAAGTGAAGCGATTAGTCCAGGATATAACAGGTTATAAGAACTGTAATATATTCTTGGACAAGTTCCAGTTCAGACGTTCAGTTCTTCGATAACGTAAGTTAGAAATTTCCAATAATTCGCAAAATTTTCAAAAAAAAGCAAAAATATGTATTATTTTCGTGTGACATGTACATATCGAAAACCTACAGCATGCCACATAAATAAAAATAAGAGAAAACCTTCTAAAAAAATTATGAATATTTTTTCAGTAGTGTAACAAAACTTATGGTAACAGCCTAAATTCTTCATGTGTTGTTCCATGATTATTTTTCAACAAACTTTACCTTGATATTTATTCCAACAATGGCTTCAAAACATCGCTGAACGTTACCTATAATTGACAATATTGTGAATCACAACATTGGAGTTAAAAAAACAAAAAAGTTGTGCTCAAAAATGCATCCACTGGATCTTTCCATGCATAGAAAGCGAAAAAAAAGATAGTCCAGAAATGGTAGACTCCTCCCCCAGCTCCTCCCACTTATGAGTATGCTGCAAGCCTTAGTAAGTACAACCTTGAAATTTTGGTGTATCTGCGCTGATAATCGAGAAATAAATTCCTAAAATGAAAAGTAAGGAACGCTTAAGTATAGAGGAGCTCAAAGGAGTAACATTTTGTTTCGATGGCCAAAACTATGATATAACTTACATTTTCATATAGTCTGCACCATGCAAACTTACAGTGAATTGATGCATGAGTTTGTCAGGACATTGATATAATCGGACAACTGCCATACTACATTTTATGAGTCACATTTCCATCGGAATATTTCCTACCAAGGCTCACTTCTTCCGTATTTACAAAATAATTACGTTGATCAATTCAGTTTTTCAGCCATTCCCCATAATTTGCCATCCATTTAGGCCAACTCTATGTTCAGAGCACCAGATATGTATGTATTTATCACGACGTAAATATTTTGCAATCGGGACATGGCATGAGCGCGGGCGTGTACAAAACCGGCATTAAATGTCGCAAAATGAGAATTTGTATCGCAGGGTCTTTAAAATGGAATAATAAAGTTTCCACGCACTTTAATGGCGCTTGAATTTTGGATGGAAAATATCGATAGAGACATCCCTTAGGCGTTGAATATGCTTCCACTCATTCATCAAGATTTTTAAAATTAACGAAATAGAGTTGTTATGATCTTGTACAAATCAACAAATTATCCTGTTTATCGCTCATGCGGCTAGCCTTAGGACAATCAAACACCATTCGTATTCATAGCTACAAAGAACCATACATTCATTGGCATCAAGGTTTTGTAGTGGCCACGGAACGGGAATTGCACTTGATCCGATATTTAACTCATTGCTGTCCTTGTCCCATTTGACTCTATGACCCATTATGAGAATTATTTTATGGACAAACAATTCCATATTTTCACTGTTGTTTCACTTAGAATTTCTACAAAAAGAAAGATCTCAGATATCTATTCGATATACAGGGTGTCCGTAAAGTATGTATACATTGTTTGATCGTTAATATCTTTCTTCCCAACAAGTCTTTTGCATTGCTTCAGAAACCGTTTTGTAGAGCTGGCTTCAACTTAGATTTGTACTATAAAACGAATCACCCACCTCTCTTCATTACTGAAGGATTACGATAGAAACTTCAAAGAGGGTTTTGAGCCGTGGAAGGCCATATTTTGCCTCAGAAAAGAAACAAAACAGCCTGAAAACTTTTACATTAGGCCATTTAGAGTTGCTGATTCTAACTGTAAAGTTCCCAACTTATTATGATGCTTCATTGAAGAGTTATGCCGGATAAGAGGTAGCGGCCATTTTTTCAATGTTTCTAAAAAGTGCGGTTACACCGTTTGGAAAGCTTCGTAATCTTGTGAATAGTTAAGTATTGAAGTCAGCATCCATAAAAACCCCAATACACAAGTTTTCACATTTTTTTTTGAAAAATTTTGAAACGGCAGCTTTTTCCACATTGACACCATATGTTTCAATTTTCTACCGTAATCCTACAGTAATGAAGAAGGATGGGTAATTCGTTCTATAATGCAAATCTAAGTTGAAGCCAGCTCTACAAAACGGTACCTGAAGCAAGGCAAAAGACTTGCTGGGAAGAAAGATATTAACGATCAAACAGTGTATACATACTTTACTGACACCCTGTATAAAGAATCGTAAGCTACATTCAAAACTCGTCCCATAGCGGGTAACCGAGTGGGTCCTGGAGCGAGCGCCACGCAACTAGCACCTTTGATGTTGCTGTTTCACTAGCTTTCTAGTAAAACTGAAACCGGAGGTTTGTTCAGTCTAGCCAAGTAAATTCTATTATCTAACATCAATCTGAGAGTTACATGTTATTTTCATTCTATTTTATTTCATTTAGAAAAAAAATTCTAATAGTGATGATTGAATTCCATAGGAGAGAGACTTTGTCATAAACGGAATTTCTAGCGCGTTATCAAGAACGTAAAGTAAAAAGAAATTTTATGACTCTTACTCGCATTTTTCTTTTACAAGAAGTTGTTTACATTGGTGAGCAAATGATAGTGACTCACGCAAATGAGCACACTACTTCTTCAGCGCCCCCACGTTGTAGATGCCGCCAAAAATCAAATGCTCAACGATTTTTCACACCGAGCAAACTCGTCCATCCCCGCACGAGGAGGCGGCCCGGTCCTGTTTGAATGAGTTTCCAACGGGGAATAATCGGCCTGTGTTTGCCTACGATCGTGTTTACGCGCAATTCAATCGTTGCCGAAAGCCATCAAAGCGTCTTTCACAACGGACGCACTGACCTCGGCTACAGTTCTCAGTTCTTGTTCTCTTCCGTGTAAGGCGGTCTCACTCATTTTTGTTTGTCTTAGAGAAAATTCTTGTTGCCGTTCCTGTTAAGTGCACTGCATTGACTAGTTTTGTGAGGTTTCGAGTAACGAATTTCAATTTTTCCAGTGAATTTTGAGATGGCGTTTGGGGCCATAATGCAGCACAACAAGTCAGATTTATAGGTTTATGAATCTTTTTACTTATTAGTTTGGAACGTAAATTCAACATTTTAAAAATCCGGGGTTTTCTCAAGGGTTATGC